GTACTGAGTCAGCACAATACAGCAATTTGGTAAAAGTTCAATCCCAAAGGAACCAAGTTAAGGGAATCAATCTGAGAAAATACAATATCCGAGAAAATATGGAAATTTAACAGCAATCCCTAAGAGAACTAGACTACATTTTCTTCTACTAAAGGTAGAAGAAAAGCCTTCAGAAATGAAAGAAGACTGAAAGGCTGGAAAACCTCCCATAAAAACCAGAGAGCCATTGAGGACAGCAACATATTAACCAATCTTTATTTTTTTATTTTTTATATATTTTACATCATTCCTATTTTGTACAATGCATGCTTTCTCTTTTCCTGCAAAAATTCCCATCACCAATTCACCCATGCACCATCACCACAGACCCTTGTGTAAGAACACATTCCCTCCCCTGTTCTGATCCTTCTCCCTCCCCTTCTCCCACAGTGTCTCTGATTAATAGTTGCTTGTTAATTTTTTTTTTAATTTATTATAATTATTTTTCCCCTGGTCCCTTATTTGGTTCCTCTACATTCCTCCTATGAGTGAAACCATCCAATATTTTTCTTTTTCCTTCTTAACCAGTCAATCTTTAAACAATAAAGAAAAAGAAAATATTCTCCAAAAAACTATGACAAATATATTTCTTTTGTCAGAATGCAAATAAGCGCCACATCAGGTTTCTAAATAAAGACCAGAATCTGGAAGGTAATGAATTAATACTTACTAAAGGTTAAGAAAAAAAATTTTTCAAGAAACATTTACTCAGCTCATAAACAACAGCAGTAGAGAAATCATTTAAAGAATTACACAACATTCCTCTAACCACTAAAACTAAATCATTCATTTATTTGTCAATTGTACTGAGTATGTGTGAAAGTCATTAACTTTGCCTAGAATTGTGGGACTGGATTCTTGCAATGGGTGCTATGGAGAGAATCATGCATCCAGTAAGCATAAGTAAAAATGTCAATGTTAATGGTTAGATGATTTGATTCTAAGTAAACTTTAATGTTCCTCACATAAGATTCAGAAGTAAAATTGTTATTAATGTAATAAACTGTCTCAGACTATCCCAGAAGTTATGAGATAAATTTCACCACTGAAATAAATTTCACCACTGGAGTTCTGAGGACAGACGGGAGGATATTGGTTACTTTGGGACTGAACATTTACCAAATTGCTGGGAGGGAGGAAGGGGTGAGAGGGAAGGGGTGGGCAGTCGGCAAAGAAGACTTAAAGGAGGGAAGGAGGGAGGGAAAGGAGGGAGAGAAGAAAATGAGGGAGGGAGGGAGGGAGGGAAGGCCGGGTGTCTCCACACAGCTTCTCTCCCTCCTCTAGTGCTCCCTCAACCATAGGAGGATGAGAAATACACTAAAGGATTTTGCTTTAAATTCACCATACTGGGCCTCCCTGGTGATGCAAGGGGTTAAGCACCACACTATGAGGTGATCCACAGTCTCTGCAGCACAAGTTTGATCCTGGCTGGCCAGGGAGCAACCCACATGGCGCAGAAGACCTCTCCTGACTCGCCTGCTGCTCCCCTCAGCAGTTTATTTCAGTCTGCCTGCCTGTTCTGTTCTCCACTTTGTCTCTGGTGAATCCTCTCACCCTCCCCACACCTCTGGCCTGTACCCCAGCTCTTGTATGCATAAATAAATACATCTTTTTAAAAATAAATAAACTCGCTACACCAAGAAAACTAGACAAAGGAAAACAGACTCCACTAGAAAAGTACCTTTCAAACCAATCCTGGTACCACATTTCAGACCCCAGAAACCTACAAAACAACCTTTTCAGTGCTGTGACAGCTGCTGCTCTTATGGAGCCCTGCAAGTTCCCGTCTCGGCTGTTCCTACACTACTGCCATCTGACTCTGACCTTAGAATGCCACACCGCCACTGGGTATTCAAAGTACTCCTCACAGTAAGATGGAGCAGGATAATCCCCTTCCCAACAGCAATCTAAACCCCTAAACCATGAATATAGTTGGTTAATGCTGTTTATTTAAACCTTAAAAACCCCATCAAACAGATCAATTTTTTATTTTATTTTTTAAACATCCTTGTTCCTTTTTTCATATTATAGGAATTCTCTCCTCAGGTGTGATCACCTTAGTTTTCCCAGCACCAAAGGCCCAAAAGTGCTCCACCATATTCCATTGTGCCCACCTATCCCATTTTCTACTTTCCCCCTCCCTCCCCTTCCTCTTGCCTCCTGAATGCCTCAGATCTATGATCATTTTTAAAAGTATTTACTGGATATCCACCTACAGTGACTGTGTAGTACTAGGGTTTTAGATCAAAGAAAATCCCTCTTACTGGCTGAAAATGTTGGTCTTTATTTCTCTATTTCAAACAAGTATGTACAGCTTCCTTGTACACACCAAAAAATTCCCATCTTCTGGTGTCCAAACTCAACACTACAATGAACAGGGAATGAGCAACCTCAAATGGTGCAAGCAAGCACCCTAGCCAAAGGAAATGTTCTATTCAGTAGTATTTAAAAACCCATTATGGTGGGGGGGCCTCCCCGGTGGCACAGTGGTTGAGTGCTGAGTTGTGAAGTTGCCCACAGCCTCTGCAGCGCCAGTTCCATCCCTGGCTGCTCCCCGGCCACTGGAGGAGGGTCCCGCATGGCACACAGACCTCTCCTGCCACCCGCTGCTCCCCTCAGCAGTGTACTTCGTTCCTTATGCCTGCTCTGCTCCCCGCTCTCACTCTGATGAATTCTCTCACCCTCCCGCGCTTCTGACTGTACCCAGTGCTTGTTTAAATGAATGAATGAATGAATGAATGAATGAATGAAAGAATAAATCTTTAAAAAATAAATAAATATGGAAAGACATCCCCTGCTCATGGATTGGAAGAATAAACATTATTAAAATGGCCATCCTACCAAAAGCAATATACAGATTCAATGCTATTCCAATCAAAATTTCAATGTCATTCTTCAAAGAAATAGAACAATTATTGATGAAATTCATATGGAATCACCAAAAACCCCGAATAGCCAAAGCTCTCCTGAAAAAAAAAGAAGGAAATGGAGGCATCACACTCCCAGACTTCAAACTATACTACAAAGCCATAATCATCAAAACTGCATGGTATTGGAACAAGAACAGACATACAGACCAATGGAATCGAATAGAAAATCCAGAAATAAACCCACAGATTTATGGTCAACTAATCTTTGACAAAGGAGCAAAGACTATGCATTGGAGCAAAGAAAGTTTGTTCAATAAATGGTGCTGGGAAAACTGGGTTGCTACATGCAAAAGAATGAAGCTTGACCACTACCTCACACCATACACAAAAATCAACTCAAAATGGATTAAAGAACTAGACATAAGATCTGAAACCATAAAATACATAGAAGGAAATATAGGCGAAACACTACGGGGTTTGCACATCAAAGACATCTTTACAGACACATCACCCAAAGCAGTGATAGTGAAGGCAAAGATAAACAGCTGGGACTACATCAAATTAAAGAGCTTCTGCACAGCAAAAGAGACAATAACAAAAACAAAGAGAAACCCCACCAACTGGGAGAACATTTTTGCACACAACACTAATGATAAAGGACTGATCACAAAAATCTGCAAAGAGCTGATGAGACTCAGCAACAACAAAGAAAATAATCCAGTCAAAAAATGGGCAGAAGAGCTAAAAAGAAACTTCTCTGAAGAGGAAATGCAAATGGCCAACAGACATATGAAAAAATGTTCAACATCACTTATAATCAGGGAAATGCAAATCAAAACTACCATGAGATACCATCTCACACCAGTGAGAATGGCACATATTAAAAAAACTAGCAACAACAAATGTTGGCGAGGGTGTGGAGAAAAAGGAACTCTTCTGCACTGTTGGTGGGAGTGCAAACTGGTCCAACCACTATGGAGAACTGTGTGGAGATTTCTGGACCTACTAAACATAGAGCTTCCATATGATCCAGCAATTCCACTCCTAGGTATTTACCCAAAGGACACAGAAACATCAATTCCAAAGAACACCTGCACCCCTATGTTTATAGCAGCACTGTTTACAATAGCTAAGCTTTGGAAACAGCCCAAATGCCCAAAAATAGATGACTGGATTAAGAAGATGTGGTACATATACACCATGGAATATTACTCAGCATTCAAAAAAGATAAACACATGCAATTTGCAGCAACATGGATGGTGCTGGAAGGGGTCATGCTCAGTGAAATAAGCCAGAAAGAAAAAGAAAAATACCGGATGGTCTCACTCATAGCAGGAATCTAGAAAACTTAAATAAGGGACCAGGAAAATGAATAACTATAAGAAAGTGAAAATCAAAATCAATAAAAAACTATGAACCAGAGACATTCTTTGGGGGGTGGGGGGCAGGAGGGGAGGGATTGGGGTCAGAATGGGTGGGTTGCAATTGTATGGGGAATATAAAAATAAAATTTATTTAAAAAAAATAAAAATAAAAATAGGGGCCTCCCCTGGTGGCGCAGCGGTTGAGCGCTGGGTTGCGAAGCTGCCCGCGGCCTCGGCAGCACAGGTTCGATCCCCAGCTGCTCCCCGGCCGCCGGAGGATGATCCCACATGGCGCGCAGACCTCTCCTGCCGCCCGCTGCTCCCCTCAACAGTGCACTTCGTCAGTCTGCCTGTTCTGTTCCCCACTCTGGCTCTGGTGGATTCTCTCGCCCTCCCGCGCTTCTGACTGTAACCCAGTGCTTGTATAAATAAATAAATAAATCTTAAAAAAAATTTTTCAGTTTAAAAAAAAATAAAAATAAAAGGGACAAAAAAAAAAACTAAAAAAAAAAAGAAAAAGAAAAAGAAAATATATGTGTTGTATAATCCATCCATGGCTGCATAAATTCATACCAAAATCTAGTTATCAACAAAAAGACAATTTCTTCTGAGCTAAACTATTTATACCACATGCATTTTAGTATATTACCAGAGAGGATCTTGACTTTCAGAGGTTATTAATATATGCTACATTTAATGAAAACAAAAAGGGTATTTGCCCATTACCTGTTCCTCCCTCTCTTTTTCTTTGGTTTTACTTCTGTAGACTCTAGCAGCAGTGGCATCTTGGGATGGAATGGCAGAAATCTGATGCAGTGGCATGCTCATCCCAGCCTCCAGTCTGGTCTTCTTCTTTATGGAAAAGAGTCTCTAGTGGTAGAGTCATTTTGGGCCATGGACTTCAAGCTGAGAGACAGAAGAAAAGACATAAATGAGCTAAAACACTTTTCAAATTTCCCACAGTGAGATTATATTTAAAAATCATAAGAAATACATAAAATAATAAATCACATTTATAATTAAAGAAGTGACAATATGTGACATAAATACTTGGTCTTCAAAAATGATACATTTCCCTTTATGGAAGAAATTCTAATTTTTTTTCTCATGTAATAAGATGGGAAAAACTCAAAGAGGCTGGGAGATTAGGTACATGTATAACTGGAAATAGTTTTCCATTGGTTAGTTAGGTTTGTTTTTTTTTAAGATTTATTTATTTATGCATATAGGAGCTGGGGTACAAGCCAGAGGTGTGGGGTGTGAGAGGATCACCAGAGACAGAGTGGGGAACAAAACAGGCAGGCTGACTGAAATACAATGCTGAGGGGAGTAGCAGGCAAGTCAGGAGAGGACTGCTGCGCCATGTGGGTAACTCCCTGGCCAGGAAACGAACTCCTGCTGCAGTGGCTGCGGGCAGCTCCATAGGTTGCGTCTTAACCCCTTGCACCGCCAGGGAGGCCCGATTAGTTAGGTTTTAAACACAGCAGTGCATACTTTATTATAAGAATGTTTCTGAAGTTAAACTTTTTTCTTGAGCAAGCATTCATCCCAATATAAGCAGTAGTATTTCCTTAAAACATCTGCCCTTGAATTGATAAAATGGTAAGATTAAATGTTCAGTTATCTATAATACATGCTTAACTTTCCAAACATTTAGACTCTACACCAGTTGTTGGCAAACTTTTCCTGTAAAATGAAAGATACTAAATATTTTTTACAATCATTTTAACTATATTAGAACTACTCAATTTTTGCTGTTATAGCATCAAAGTCATAATGAATATGTAAATGAATGAGAATGGCTATGTTCCAAAAAACAAGTTTTTGTAAGTAAAGTGTTGATTTGGCCCCTGGATCTATAGTTTGTTAAATTCTGCTCTAAAAGATTGTTTCAGGGAAGATGAGGGTCATCAAGACATTCCTGGGACAAGGAAAATGTTGCCCTTAGGTAAAATAACAGTATCTAGTTATTATATAACACCTAGTCCATTTTAAGCCTTTGAAGAGGCTAACAAAAGAAGGAACACTGTGCCCAACAAATAATCTGAATATTGTGTTACCATTTACAAAAGACAAGAGGCACTTACTTACTGCTGAGTTGTCTTTTACTGTCTGAGAGATCACAACAGTCAGTGAGGAGCAGTTTTTTTCATCCCTAATGCATTAAAGTTTTTTTGTCACAGGTGACAAACTCCATGTGGCCTCTTGGAATATTGGTCAAATTAACCATGCCCAGAGCCTCAGCACAAATGCCAATAGCTGCCTTTGGAACTTCTAGTATAATCATCATTATTACATCATTGGCACATGCCCATGACAAGCCTGGGGAAGACTATGCTAGAGAAACACAAAGATGATAGGGTTTTAATTTTCTGGTGCATTTTGATGGACCCTATCTTTATAGTCACTTAAGCTACTCTATTCATTTGTACTCCCATCTCCAAGCAATAGATGTGAAATTTCCCTGAAGTAATCCCTCTCCTATGTTAGACACATTTAGGCTAAAAAATTTAATTTTAAAAACCCAGCCGCAGACCTCTCCTGCCTCGCCCACTGCTCCCCTCAGCAGTGTATTTCAATAGATCTTCCTGTTCTGCTCCCCACTCTATCTGGTGAATCCTCTCACACACACCCCCTCCCCACCCCCACCTCGTGTACCTCTGGCCTGTATCCCAGTTCTTATATGCATAAATAAATGAATCTTAAAAAATTAAAAAAAAAAGACTATGCCCCTCTTTATGTGACAAATCATGTGAAAAACATAAAGCAAGTATTACTTATGCTATTGTCTTTGCATAATTTCCAAATTACCTGTTTTATACCAATTATCTGTAATTAAGAGCAACAGTTAAACCCCTGCACTATGTCTCACAATCTAGACACAAGGACTTAACTGTACTAATATTAACCAGTAAAATACAACATACCTAATGTGAACATCTATGTCTAAAAGACCTGAGAAAGCTGTTTGTATAAGATATGGAAATGAATACTCCATATTGTTGGATCAGAGGACTTAGTACTGTTAAGTTGGCAATTTTCCCAAATTGGTCTACAGATACAGCAATCCCCATCAAAAATTCATCTGACCTGTTTGCAGAAATTGGATGAGAACACCCAAAAAAACCTCAAAAAAGAACAAACTTCTTTCCTTCTTCCCAATTTCAAAACTTATGACAAAGGAATAGCAATGAAGGCAGTGCAACACTGTAATAGGACAAATGTAGAGATCAATGGAATACAATTTAGTGTTAACAAATAAATCCATGTATCTTTGACCCAGATTATTCAATGGGGAAAGAATAGTCTTTCCAACAGTCTTGGGGCAACTGGACAGTTACATGCAAAAGAATCAATCCCCTACCTCAAATAAAAAAAAAATTAAAAAACTAGATATCAATATGCTTCAATAGATACTATATCATTAAAATGACAAGGCAAAAGTCCTCCATTCCTGGGAAATAGTTTATCAGTCCAAGCCAAAAAAAAAAATGACAAGACAACCATTGAGCTGAATAAGCTTTTTGTAAATTATGTAACTAATAGGGGACATGTACCTAGAATATAGAAAGAACTATTACAACTCAATTATAAAGACAATTCAATGAAAAGTGGGCCCGTTCAACATTAGTCAAAACAAAAATGCAAATAAAAACCATGAGGTATCACTTTAATTATGACTAAAAAGACAGACATGGGGGCCTCCCTGGTGGCACAAGGGGTCAAGCACCATACTCTGAAGCAATCTGCAGCTTCTGCAACATGAGTTCAATCCCCGGCCGGCCAGGGAGCAACCCACATGGCGCAGCAGACCTCTCCTGACTCGCCCACTGCTCCCCTCAGCAGTGTACTTTGTCAGTCTGCCTGTTCTGTTCCCTGCTCTGTCTCTGGTGAATCCTCTCACCTCCCATATCTCTGGCCTGTACCCAGCTCTTATATGCATAAATAAATAAATCTTAAAAAAAAAATAAAAAATTAAAAGACAGATATGTGTTGATAAGATATATAGGAATTGAAAGCCTCACCTATTTATTGCTTATGGGAATACATATGCAGCTGCTTTGGGGAAAAAATCTGGCTCTTCTTCAAAATGTCAAATATAGTTATATTTGACTCAGTAATTTCATTCCTAAGTAAACACAAACCCAAAGAAATCAAGCCATATGCCCTCATAAAAACATTAAGTGTACGTCCATAACCAAAGTCTCAGAAATAACTCAACAGTCCATAAATTGATGGATGGATAAATGTTATCAATATAATGGAATATTATTCAACAAAATAAAGAAATGAAATATAAATGCATGTTACAACATCTATGAACCTTAAAAATAATATACTAAGTGAAAGGGGAATTACATATTATATGACTACACGTGTATGAAATATCCATAGTAGTCAAATCCATAGAGAAAAAAGATTAGTGATTATCGAGGATTAGGGTAGAGGTAGGCGAGGGAACAGAGACAGCTAAAAGGACTTCTTTTCAAGTAATCAAAATGGTCTAAAAATGCATTAAGGTAAGGCTTACATAACTCAAGTATACTAAAAGTCAAAGAACTACACACCTCATGAGGGTATGAGGAGATTATAACATGTGAATTGTATCTCAATAAAGCTGATTTTAAAAATATAGAAGTAATGAGTATAGGTTATGATAAAATCTTATTCCTTTTGTGCTATCCCAAGTATAATTTATCTGAAGGACATGGAGGTGGCCACTGTTACCCTAGCACTCTTCTGGTTCTGAGAAAGGTAGCAGGAAGAGTGTAAATTAGTCAGCAATCAGCAAGCTAAATTCAAATCTCGGCTCTATGAAATATTAACGGTGTGATGTGCAGCAAACTGATGAAATTCAAGGACTATTTCTTTGTAAAATAGAAAGGTAACTATCTCTACTCAGGACACAGGGTTATTGTGAAGATCAAATAAGAGTGTGTTCATGTGCACAAATACAAGGGTTCTTAGCATCAGCAATCAGCACATTTCCAGCCCGCTTTTTCAGGCATCTTCAATGATTCCTCTCATAGCCTTACAAAAGCCTACTTGCCTCAAAGCTTTGTCTTTCCAGTACCATCTTCTGTCCTCCTATGCCTCAGTCTACACTAGACTTACACAACTGGGACTTCAAATCCTTTCTGATGTTTATTTAGTACCTTTAGCAGCATGACTGTGAGGGGAAGCAGAGTTGACAATGCTCTCTGTTTATAAGGGAGAGGCAGGAAGACCCCATGCAGAAGACAGCCATCAGCTTAACAATCAACCTGTTCTATGTTCTTTCCAGATGGTCAAAATAAATGAAGGATTCTGCCTATTGCCACAACAATGCTTGAGACAAACATAACAACAAAGAGGCAGCCAGGAGAAGACAAAGATGCCAGTCACAGCCTCCCTTAGTGATAGTCACCAAGTTTACAAGCCCCCCTGCACCCATGCTCACAGGGTGTCAGGCGCACCCTATTCCTCCCCATTGTGGTTGCTGAATCTTAATCAGAAGCATATTTCATATTTTTGTAAAAAAATGAGAAGCCTGGGCCTCCCCAGTAGTGCAGCAGGTTGAGCGCAGCACTGTGAGCCTATCCATAGCCTCTGCAGTGAAGGTTTGATCCCAGCCGGTGAGACTCCCACATGGTGCAGCAGACCTCTCCTGTCACGCCTGCTACTCCCCTGAGCAGTGTATTTCTGTCATCTGCCTGTTCTGCTCCCCGCTCTTGTCTCTGGTGAATCCTCTCAACACCTCCCCCGCCCCCCGCACCTCTGGCCTGTGCCCCAGCTCTTGTATAAAAATAAATGTCTTTTAAAAAAAAAAATGAGAAGCCTGTGTACAGAAACTAGCAGACACAGAAAAAAAAAAGCTGTAGGAGGAGTGAGGAGACCAGATGTAGACATACATCACTGAATGCAGAGGAGACCAAATGTTTGAAAAGGTGGACTGGTATAACTGGTAAAGGGACTGAGTTCAGGCTATGCATTCTCTAGACTGGGAAGCAGTGGAGCAGGAAACAAAGGGGAACACACCATGGGCACACTGAGCTTGACATGGCTGTGGGAAACACAAGACAAGTATACAGTGCTCAAGGAAAGTCACCAACTCACTGTGACTCCTGAACACACAGGAATAGATCCCATTACCAAGAAACACCTGTACGATCATTCCTTTATGTCAGTAAATGCTATAAACAAATGATAAAATCCCGCATAGATACAGAACTTTTAAACACTTCAGAAAACAGTAATGGAAAATCTCTAACACAAAAAATAACTCCTATCTCAAGCAAAATTTAACGTTACATTCACATGGCAAAACTCTTAGAGGTATTCTAATTGAAAAGTAAATAAGCACATTATCACTGCTATTATCTCATAAATAGTTAGATTTCTTCCTGCTAATGTTTTAAGACTTAAAGACAAGGACAATGAAAGAATTAAGCTCTTGAGAAGTTTTCTAAGAACTACTGGAATCAATTAGAAACATAAATATTTGTATAAAATCAATAGTATAAGAAAAAAGCATGTAAATACATTTCACCAGTATTCATATACAACAACAAAACACATGAATTAATAAACGATTTAAAAGCTACTTTTCCAATGAAAAACATTCTGTTATTTTAGAATTTACTTGAGGCGTGTTCTCAAATTAAAGTATATATTTAATGGGGCCTACCCTGGTGGCGCAGGCGGTTGAACGCCATGCCACGCTGTGAAGCTGTCCGAAGCCTCTGCAGCGCTGGTTTGATCCCAGCCGGCAGGCTAGGGTACCACATGGCACAGCGGACCTCTCCTGTCACACCGGCTGCTCCCCTCAGCAGTATATTTCATCAATCTGCCAGCTCTGTTCCCAACTCTGTGGTGAATCCTCTCACCCGCCCTCACTTCTGGCCTGTACCCCCATTCTTGTATAAAATAAATAAATAAATCTTCAAAAAAAAAAAAAGCATGTATTTAATGTAATTCCAATCAAAGGTTAAGCAAGATTTTTTTTTAATTGACAAAACGTTTTTAAAATTATGCTTAAGAATCAATGAGATGGGCCTCCCTAGTGGCGCAAAGGGTTAAGCACTGCCCTATGAAGCAATCTGCAGCCTCTGCAGCACAAGTTCGATCCCCAACCGGCCAGGGAGCAACCCACATGGCAAGGCAGACCTCTCCTGACTCGCCTGCTGCTCCCCTCAGCAGTGTATTTCAGTCACTCTGCCTGTTCTGTTCCCCACTCTGTCTCTGGTGAATCCTCTCACCCCCTGCCTCTCTGGCCTGTACCCCAGCTCTTGTATGT